CTCGCGGGTGCAAAATCGCAATTGGAGCGACGGTTCGTGCACGTTGGTGGTGGGCAAGCGAGTACGCAACGAGTGGCAACGAAAGTCTCTCGTCTGGCGAGAGATTGATGCCGCGTTTGAAAGCCGTATATTGACGGGCGCTGTGTTAAATTCTAATTACATCGAGCCGCGGCGGTTTTTAGAAGACGCGAGAGAAATAGTGCTCGGGCAAGTTCGAGACGCTGTAGAAAGACACGGTAATGCAAAAGTGAATACCGCGTTCAATGGTGAATTTGCAACGAATGACAAACGTGCCATTAAAAGTATAAACACTAAGAACATTGAAATATATCGATGTACCGATATACGCGAGTGGTACGAGCGGCACGTCATCGAGCCTACGTTGACATCGCTCGAAGAGTTCCAGAAACGCGACAGTGGGTGGGCGCTGTCGCGAATCCTCAATTTGACTATCAACGTGAATAAACTAAATCCCATGCGCACGGGAAATAGCGACGAAACGAGCGGTGATCAGTGTGCGTACGACGGACAATGCGTGCTTCGCGTGGTCGGTGGTCGCCGCTCTACATCCGGCTGAAGAACATGTGTATCGGGAATCATCGTATCCACATTACACTGCAGTGTTAAATCTTGCGGGCATTCCCGCTTGCGAGTTTCCAATGATATTGAAAGACATTCAAAAATTCGAACAATTGAACGCAGTATCGATCAATGTATATAGTAACGAGAATAAACAGGTCCTTCCTGTACGGCTTACTAGCGACAAGAAGGAGAAATACGTCAACGTGCTGTATCTGCAAGATCCACGCAACGACAGTGTAGGCCACTTTGCGTGGATTAAGATCCTGTCGCGCCTCGTGAGCTCGCAACTCTCGAAAAAGGAGCACAAGAAATTTTTCTGCGATCGGTAAGTATGCGTAAAAAAAAAAATTATAATTGTCCTTTATATTAATAAATGATAATAATAATTTATATGCGTTTTTTCCAGATGATTGCACTACTTCAGTACGAGCGAAAAATTGGAGTTACACGCAATGGACTGCAGAAAATTTAATGATTGTGCCATCAGACTGCCGAGCGAGGACAACAAATGGCTCGAATTCAACAACCACTGCAATAAGGAGCGCATTCCATTCGTCGTCTACGCCAACCTGGAGTGCGTTCTGCAGAACGGAGCCGGACAAGGAAGATGCGTCGTACACATATCAGCGCCACAAGGTATGCAGTGTGGGCTACTACGTACATTGCTCGTACGACGACGCGTTATCGTCGTATCGGTTCCGTCGCGACGAAAACTGTATAGCATGGTTCGCGCGTCAACTCTAAGACTTGTTGCATCGCGTAAAAGATATTATATCCGCCAACGTGCCCATGGAAGTGCTATCTAAACAGCAATGGGAGACATACCGCAGCGCGACGGGTTGTCACATCTGCGGGAAACTGTTCGCGTCAAACGAACAGCACATTCGAATTGTAATCTTAATTATAAAAATTCGTTTAATATTCCAGTTGTATTTCACAACTTGTCGGGCTACGACGCACACTTTATAATTAAAGAAATCGCTACAGCATATGAGGGACAAGTAGATGTTCTACCGATAACAAAGGAAAAATATATATCATTCACTAAACATGTCGATAGCACCAAAGATAAAAATACAAATCATTTTCGGAAAAATTGCGTAAAATTAAGGTTTATTGATTCATTTAAATTTCTAAGTGCAAGCCTCGATAAATTGGCGTCGTATCTCGACAAAGATAAATTAAAAATTGTACGTTCCGAATTTTCAACTTTGTCAGACGGAAAGCTTGAATTACTTACTCGTAAAGGTGTCTTTCCGTATGAGTACGTTGACTACGTTGAAAAATTACAGGACACACGCTTACCACCGCGCGAATCATTTTACAGTTCATTGACGGGCGATACAGTATCCGAGAGCGATTACGCTCACGCCGTGAACGTATGGCAGCGATTCTCCATTCGAACGCTCGGCGAGTACAGTGATCTCTACTTGAAAACCGATGTCTTGTTATTAGCTGACATTTTCGAAAATTTCAGCGAAAGTTGCGTCGCGAGTTACGGTCTCGATCCCGCGCATTATTATACACTACCAGGTTTCACGTGGGATGCCATGCTGAAACATACGCGCGTAAGATTTGAATTGCTCACCGACATTGATATTGTCATGTTCATCGAGCGCGGTATACGCGGTAGCCTCAGTCAATGTTCCGGCAGATATGCGCAGGCTAATAACAAGTACATGCGTTCGTACGACCCGTCGGAACCGTCGACGTACTTAATGTATTACGACGTTAACAACTTGTACGGTTGGGCGATGAGTCAACCATTGCCATACGCCAAATTTCAATGGGTCAAAGACGTTGCGAACTTTGACGTGAGCGCGATCGCTCTGGATTCGCATCGGTTATATTCTCGAGGTCGATCTCGAGTATCCACAACATCTCCATGACGTTCACGCGGACCTGCCTTTCTGCCCGACGCGCGATAAGCCACCTGGCAAGCGCGAGGATAAACTTCTAGCGACGCTGTACAATAAACAACGTTACGTCATTCACTACCGCAACCTACAGCAATGTACTCGTCACGGTCTTCGCGTAACAAAGATCTATCGGGTGCTACAATTCGCGCAATCTCCATGGCTTCGCGAGTACATCCAACTCAATACCAATTTCAGAACTCGTGCGAAAAACAATTTTGAAAAAAATTTGTATAAATTAATGAACAACGCGGTTTTCGGAAAAACCATGGAGAATGTGCGCAATCACGTCGACGTAAAATTATTAACAAAGTGGGACGGATGATACGGCGCGGAGGCAATGATCGCGAAACCGAATTTCCACAGTTGTAGCATCTTTGCGGAAAATTTAATCGCCGTCGAACTACGCAAACTCGAGGTGAAGTTCAACTAGCCGATTTACGTGGGTATGCGTATACTCGATATATCGAAAGTCTGCTTGTACGAATTTTACTATGACGACGTGTTACCACTGTTTCACTATAAATGCAAAATCATATACACCGACACGGACAGTCTCATTTACCATATAGAATGCGAGAACATTTACGAGACTATTAAACACGATATCGCTAGATTAGACACGAGCGATTATCCGGCGGACAACGCATACTGTATGTCTCTCGCGAATAAAAAAGTATTTGGTCATGAAGGACGAGAACAACGGTATGATATCGACCGAATTCGTTGGGCTCAGCGAAGATGTATGCGGTGAGGGTAGATGGCAAAAAGGACACCAAAAAAGCAAAAGGTGTAAAGAGTAACGTAGTAGCGCGAACGATAACGTTCGACAATTACACGCGGTGCTTGAACGAAGAGATCGAAATGACTCGTCGTCAATCGTGTATACGATCTAAACTGCATGAGGTATACACGATATCCGAATCGAAAATCGCTCTGAGTCCATACGACGACAAACGATACGTCGTACTGAACACGACGGAGACGTTACCGTGGGGACATTGGCGGATACCTTTGTAATATATGCATTAACATTTATGTTGCTATTAAGTACTACTATTATTGTATTGTAATTTACACTTTATGTATGTTTTTTATGTTTATATAAGTATTACTATTATGTTTTATGTAGTACCATTTATTATGTATTATTATTTTCAATTCGTGTATCAACCATTTTCTTATATACTATGTATATAATAGCTAGAAATTTCAAACATACGGTCAGTAAATCGTTTGAGAGAAAAATTTTGTATCTTGGAAAACACTCATCTATCATTCAAGGTCGATCATGGATATTTTTGTAATTTTACCGAATATTAATGCATATCTTGCGGAAATGTTAACTACGTTGGAACATCTGAAGATGGCTTGATATAAAGCCGAAACATGTAATGAAGCTTACTAACGTTCAATTAAATTTTTATTTTATTTAATTCTGTGACATATATTTATTTTTAACGTTTTATTTGACTCTTATATGTTCTTTACAACATTATTTGAAATTTTATAATATTTAAGAGTCCTATGAAACTTTTTATTGTTATAAATCATAGACATTATATAATAACTCCGCAAGAAAAGAATGATTAATCTGGAAACATTAAAAATTATCGGTTTTCCTAGAAGGTAAAATATTTCCTGGTAATATATTACGTTAGTTATTCAGATTAGACTTTCCTTGCTTCGCTTTTTTTAAGTGTATTTTACCTATTCTCATCCTTCAGTCTGCCGACTCGTAAGCAAGTTTGAAGACCGATCGCGACGTCGCACATCATGTCCGCCAGTTTTTTCTGTACAAGCTGATTCGCCGCCAGCGGTCTTTTAAATTGTTTCCTCTCCAAAGTGTAAGATCTAGCAATGTTCAGGCAAGCTTCTGCCGCGCCTAACGCACCCCAGGCGATGCCGTATCGCGCATTGTTTAAGCAACTGAATGGTCCCTTTATCAAGTTCTATTATTAGATATCCTAAGCTACGCGGAATATAATCGTAATTAATGCGATCATCTAGTTTTTTGTAGTTATTGACTTCATTTTTAATATCTATATTTTTTAAATTTTAAACAATAATGATAATCACGGTTATAATAATAATGAAGCCAATTGTGTGATAGTAACTAATAGTCAATTAATTAAATAAGGATATAACTGCCTTGACCAGTATAAAACACTGAGTTGTCTGGAAAAAAAAAAGATAAAATCCAAAGAAAACCAATAAATAAAAACAATATATTTATATTTTTTGACCGTATATTTGACAAACTCAATTAATACTAGAAATTTAATTGCCTATTACGATCGGAGCTGGATCTTCGTTGCTTTTTAATAATTCAATCTTGAATTACTAATATATACTATATATGTACTTGCATATATGTCATATTGTAGTCTTTTTCTAACTGCGCGCCGAATTATTTTTCCGGACTAAATAAACGCAAGTAAAACTACTAGTAATCGCGAATTAAATTGACAAGCAATTTAATAATTTGATGCTACCATCAAGCATCATATATTACAAAGATGTTAATATATAAAAACTGTTAATAAATTTATTGCGAAAAATATTACCTCGGCCGGGACTTGAACCCGGATCTCTTGTAAACCGTACGAGCGTCCTGAGCCATTAGACTACTGAGGCTATTTTTCGAGAATATTTTTTGCAATAAATTTATTAACAGCTTTTATATATTAACATCTTTATAATATATGATGCTTGGTGGTAGCATCAAATTATTAAATTGCTTGTCAATTTAATTCGCGATTACTAGAGTAATTTTAATTGCGTTTATTTAGTCCGGAAAAACAATTCGGCGCTCAGTTAGAAAAAGACTACAATATGGTATATATGCAAGTACATATATAGCATATATTAGTCATTCAAGATTGAATTATTAAAAAAGCAACGAAGATTCAGCTCCGACCGTAATAGGCAGTTAAATTTCTAGTAGTAATTGAGTTTCTCAAATGTATGGTCAAAAAATATAAATATAGTTTTAAAAAAAAGTATTATAAATAAAAGTATTATAAATTCGAGATATTCCAATCCTTCTTTTCAATCCGCTTTTGTCCTTACAAAACGGTTGAGAGTGCAAAGAATGAAATATAATTGTTGTAAGTCGTGGATGTAAAATAAAGCAGAGAAAAACGTTTATATAAGGCTGTTGCCCAAGTGGAAAAGTTGGACATATGCCGGATCTTACAAATGGCGCGATACCGCGGCAGTT